ACCGTGACCATGGAAAATGGTGCACTTAAAACTGATCTCTTCCGTAAACCCACGGATAAGCATATGTACCTGCTCCCTAGCAGCTGTCACCCCCCGCACCTGTCTCTTATACACATCTAGATGTGTATAAGAGACAGGGCTTAAATATAACAGTTCTCCAAAGAAAGCAAATTTTCCAGTGACTGTTCAAATTCTCTATTGTAATATGTTAACAACTAATATAGTTATTATTATAGAAAATTAATTAAGTAAATGCTGTCTCTTATACACATCTCATCAGCGTGATGATATTATCATCAAACCAGCTGATAAAGGCTCTGCCACTGTCGTAATGGACATTAAATTCTATGAAGAGGAGTCCTTAAGACAACTAAACAATCCTCTTCACTATCGGAAGCTCACGGAGTACCCCACTCCGGAAATTTCTAAGGAAGTGGAAAAATATGTATTAAAGATGGTTAAAAAAGGTTCCATCGATCCCAAAATTGGACCCCATCTCATCCAGGTCGATCCGGCACCAGGACGTTTCTATGTCCTACCCAAAATCCACAAAGCAGGCCGTCCTGGCAGACCCATTATTTCGGGCAACGTTACTGCTACAGAAAAAATCTCTGAATATGTGGATGATTTATTGAGACCATATGTTGTTGCTCTCCCCTCGTACATTCAGGACTCCACGGACTTTATCCGCAAAATTAACCAAATTTCAAATTTACCTAATAATACTGTTCTGGCTACACTAGATGTTTCGTCATTATGTACTAATATCCCTCATGAAGAAGGTGTTAATGCGTGCATTTCAAATTTCAAGCAAATTCAGGGCAAAACCCCATCTAAATCACATCTCCGTGAACTTATCATGCTGATTCTGACCAATAATAACTTTGTTTTCGGCGACGGTCATTACCTTCAAATTCATGGCACAGCGATGGACACCAAAATGGCTCCATCTTTTGCTAACTTATTTATGGGACAATTTGAGGACAATTTCCTGTCCCTACAGCCCAAGAAACCAGATGTTTGGTTTCGTTACATTGATGATATCTTCATGATCTGGACCCATGGTGAAGATAGTTTGGATACGTTCCTATTGAACATTAATTCGGCTCATCCCACAATCAAATTCACTGCTAAAAAGTCCACAAGCAGTGTAGATTTTTTGGACATCACCGTGACCATGGAAAATGGTGCACTTAAAACTGATCTCTTTCCACGGATAAGCATATGTACCTGCTCCCTAGCAGCTGTCACCCCCCGCACTGTACAAAAAACATTCCGTACAGCCAAGCATTGCGCATGAGACGCATTTGTTCTTCTGATTTAGATTTTCAGAATCGAACAGAAGAACTATCTTCGTGATATATTAGTACGATCTAAATTCAAGAGGCAAACTAACTCTTGCGACAACCATAATTTGGGTAGTCATCTTTGTGGTTCATCATGCAAAACATGCTCCTTGCTTGATTCTACACAATCATTCAAGAGCAACCAAACAAACCACATATTTCGGATAAGGCAATCAATTTATTGCCTCACCAAAAATGTCATTTATCTCATATATTGTAATATTTGTGGTAAACAATATGTCGGAGAAACAAAAAACACTCTCCGTATGAGAATGACACAACTTAGATCAGCTATCAGAACATCTAAGCTTGATCAACCAGTAGCCGAACATTTCAATTTAGCTGGTCATTCAATTTCTAATTTCAGAGTGATTGCAATTGACCACAATGCCAGTTGGAGCGACAAAAATCGCAAAAAAAAAGAGAATCACTGGGAAATTTTACTTAAAACAACCACACCATTTGGACTCAATATTAGGAACGTTCTCCCAGTACACTAAATTAAACCAATGGCATTTCAATTTATTCTGGATAAATTATTTGGCTTATTTATTGAGGCTTGCCTC